GGAGAGCGATGGACATCAGCATGCACTGACAGGTGGCGTGGAGAGCAAATAGATGGAGGAGAAGAATGGGAAGGAAGATTAGAGGGAGACGAGGAAGAAGACATAGGAGACATGACAGACTGGGCAGAAAGAAGGGGAACCCCAGACAGAGGACCAGGAGGGGAACCCTTCGGGACAGAACTCAAAGGAACAGAGGGAGGGGGGGGCTGTGGGCGTGTCAGGGGTCTAAGGCCTGGAAGCGGTTTTGAGTCTGAGGAAGGCGGGAAGGACGAGGAGAGGAAGAGCACAACACGCGAGCATAAGAGACGTTAGTATAAGGTGGGAGACGGCGAACTTGGTGCCACGCCTCAGGAAAAGACAAAACGCTCCCGGTGCTTCAAGTTGAGGACGGCTGCCTCAAGCTTGTAATGCATACATGCATGAGAGAAGGTAGGGTAGGCCTCACCACAATTGAGGCAGTGAGCCTGGAGAGAAGTGCACTCTGACTTAAGAGTGACCTTCGCCCCCACACAGAGGACAAAGAGAGATAGTACCAGAGCAGAGGAGGGCATAATGACCAAACCTCCAGCACTTATTACAGAGCCGAGGAGAGGGAATGTACTCCTGGACGCAGCACCTGGCACCAGCAACAATGACAGAGGGTGGAAGGGTCCTACCTCCAAAGGTAATCTTCACAACCCGAAGGGGTTGATGGCGACGACCACGAGGGGGACGAGTAAACGAGTCTACCTGGAAGACTGAATGGCCCTGGGCTTCGAGGATATGCCGAACATCTTCGTGGCAGTCCTCGAGATTCCGAACACCGGTTGCAACATGTGGTGGGAGGAGAATAGTGCCAACACTGGCATTCAACCGTGCGTTCTTGGAGACCCGAACAGGGGATTTGCCAAGGTAGGATTAGGTGGCCAAGCGGAGGCTGCATCCTGCGAAAGAGCAGCAACAACACGTGTACCGAGACAGGTGGGGGTGGAAGATAACAGAGGCACCTACTGAGTCAACAAGGTGCCCATGGAGGGAGAAGTCGTCAGGTGTAGAATCCAGTGGGAGCAGATCAAAGTATTTGGCCCACGAAGCGGGATCAAACAAGGCTTGATACGCATCAGTATGGGAAGGAATTGAGCAAGTGCGGGCGTGGCAAGGACGGGGATGAAAACCCCTAGAGAGGGATTAAAAGGCGCAGTAGTCGCAACTAGAGACTGAGCCTTGCCAGGGGACGAGGTGGTCACCACTGGGGGGTTTGGGGCTCGACCCAACCACAGAGGAGGGAGGGGAACCAAGGGGAGTAGTCAGGAGGGTCAAAGGAGGAGCGGTTGGGGCCCAATGCAGCGGGGGCTACAGAACCGGATTTCCAACACAGGCCTACTCAGGGGCTTAGTCGCCCACCCCACGAGCCCAAGAGGGTAAAAAGAGGAATATTAAGTGATATAGATACGAGAGAAAAGACATTCATTCATGAATGTGCTCCCATACCCACCACTTAGCCAAAATTAGAAGCAGGACACCCAACAAGAAACAAGTTGCCGATTTTGCCAGGGCCCCCTAGGGGTGTGTCGTGAGTATACGCCCCACAAACGCCACCTTAAAAACCGACAGTCCATCGAGATCGGGTTGAGTGACAAAAGGAGGATTGACAATAAAAGGGTCCCCTTGCTCGAAACGTCGGGGTACTACAGTTCTACGGGTGCAAGAGTATGCCTCCGCAAACACCCGGGAGTCAAAACAAAAGAAGGCCAAAAGAATTATCAAAACAGGCAAAAGGTCGGCAGGAAATGACAATTAGAAAGTAGAAGGGGGGGGGGGGAGAAAAACGGAAACATAAGGAAAAGGAAAAGGCATCCAGCAAAATTTGAGAGGACAGCAGCAGGAGCAGAAGGCCACAAAAAGACAGAGGACTGGCTCATGGAGCATCACACTCCGGCAATCGCCCACCAAGCCCCCTCATGGCATCAATGGGCCGGACAGCGAGGGGGCCTGTGACAAGAAAAACATGTTTTTTTTTTTTTTTTTTAAACAGCGCTATCTGTTGGACGCAAGAGCAACGCATGCTGTAATCTCAGAAAGTTCTTCACTGATTGCTTTGAAATTTTGACACAAGGTTCCATTCGAATATGCATATGCTTTTATATACCTTGTATATAGATGCCACACCTGTGACAGGTAAAAACATTTTTTTTAAACAGCGTCATCTGTTGCACGTAATAGCAACATATGCTTTACTAAATATGTAATGATTCCATTTCAATGTTTCCGATTGCATTGATAAATTGAATCTTCATAGATTTCATTTTATTTTGATTTTGATTTAATTATTTGGTGTGACATTGCATTGGAATTGAGTTGTGTTGTCTACCATACCGTTCATTTCGTGAGTATAATATATTTTATTATTTTTTCATTGTTTTTCATTTTGTTTTTTTAACTGTTTTTCTTATATTTCAGTGATGGAAACATCAGATCATTTGATGTTTCCAATTTTCTGATGAGAACATCAGATCATTTGGGAATGCAACAGATGAGGGAGTGGGGAATGGTGGGGTCACCCCCACCATTCCCTACAAGGGGACAGGAGTGGGGGATGGTGGGGTTGAGGGGACAGGGGGGAATGGAGAATGGTATGGAGAACAAGGAGACAGAGGAGTGGGGGATGGTAGGGAGGACGAGGGTACAGGGGAGTGGGAGATGGTGGGTAAGACGAGGGGACAGTGGAGTGGGGAATGGTTAGGAGGATGATGGGATGAGGTAGTGTGGAATGGTTGAGAGGACGAGGAGATGGGGGGGAAATGGTGAGGAGGACTGAGAGAGCAACCCATTCTCGCACTTGCTTACTGTCAATATTGGGTTATTTAATAAGTGCTTATGTGACATACTAATTGATTGTAAATATTTTAGTTTACCTTGAAAAGATTCATAGAAAACACCGACCTCACCTAACCTTCTTAGTATGTTAAGATAAGCATCTTATTGCTTTTTATTTACAATTATTACATAACCTATCAATGGTATAGGTTAAGTAATAATTGTAATTAAGAAGCAATAAGATGCTTATCTTAACATACTAAGAAGGTTAGGTGAAGTCGGTGTTCTCTATGAAGCTTTTCAAAGTAAACTAAAATATTCACAACCAATTAGTATGTCACATATCCACTTATTAAATAAGCCAATATTGAATATAAGCAAGTGCGAGAACGGGTTGGAGAGAGCTGGGAAGGTTGCTGTGGCTCAGCAATGCACATGCCTTGCTGAGCCCCAACAACGCATGGCCGGGTACAGCTAGTAATTATTAATAATAATTGAATGTGGGATCGAAAAGGGTATGTTGAGGGCATAGATGGGACCCCCTCCTATGGAGGGACGGACCTAGGAGGTCGAGGCATGTGAATCAGGTTAAGGGGGGAGAGACAGCCGGTAGTTTTGACTGATAGCGAGGGTCTCATTCTCGTATTTTTTAATTTAAACAAAATGTCTGTTTTATGTAGGAAGTTCCAGTTCGTGTATATATATTTTGCCAAAAACGCATAACATTCTCACCCAATTCTGGTTGTGGTGTCGGTCTCCGATGTCTTCAGCAGGTGTAAGAGGGAGATTAGTTTCATGTCAGACACGACTGTGTTCACGGTAGGTCGTCTCACCAGCGAATGAGTTGTGTCAATGACCCGTAATAGTTTTTGTAAACAGGGGGGGGGCTCCTCACCCCACCCTGCCCCTCCCCACCTTGCTTCAAGAGCACTAAGGAGCGGCGGCACATGGCCAGCACCACATAGACCTGAGGAGTGACACCACATGGGCACATGGTGGGGTTACCTCTTTGAAGGGTGAGGCCCAACTGCAGTGAATGTCAACATCAGCCTCTACCATACCCAGTCCTGCCCACCCCTCCTGCATCCTCCCCAACCACTTTACACCCTCAGAGGTGTAGGGGAGCACATACCAGCACCGCATGTCTCTGTATTCATATCAATACCTTATCCTGACCCCTTCCAAATGCTAAAAAGTCGTAATGGCTTGGCACTTTCCCCTGATAATTAAGAAAATTATTCTTCAGTAGTTTTCCCAAACAATTATATTGATATTTGTGGAAATGTTGGAGTGGAGTGTGAGTACTAGAAACAAAAATTAAGTTTCTGGATGGGTGATTTCCTTCAGACAAAAGGGTATCATTAGCTTGTGAATTGTTTCTTCATGATTGGGTATAGACAATGGGCCGGTATGTGGATGTGAGTAATGCGAGGGTGGACTCACAAGAGTCAGCTTGAACATTTCCTCCATTTTTTTTATCTTTATTAAATAAAATTCAATATAAATCATACCTTGAGGTTACCTTGAGGTGCTTCCGGGGCTTAGCGTCCCCGCGGCCCGGTCGTCAACCAGGCCTCCTGGTTGCTGGACTGATCAACCAGGCTGTTGGACGCGGCTGCTCGCAGCCTGAAATATGAGTCACAGCCAGGTTGATCAGATATCCTTTGGAGGTGCTTATCCAGTTCTCTCTTGAACACTGTGAGGGGTCGGCCAGTTATGCCCCTTATGTGTAGCGGAAGCGTGTTGAACAGTCTCGGGCCTCTGATGTTGATAAGAGTTCTCTCTCAGAGTACCTGTTGCACCTCTGTTTTTCAATGGGGGGTATTCTGCACATCCTGCCATGTCTTCTGGTCTCATGTTATGTTATTTCTGTGTGCAGGTTTGGGACCAGCCCCTCTAATATTTTCCACGTGTAAATTATATATACATAAATTTTGCAAGGTAATACTACATTACATATACCTCCATTGACCATCATGATCAAAATCTAGAAGATCTAGATGATCAAAATCACTCATAACAATTCTTCTTTCCGTTCTCTAATATCTCTAGAAAAGGGATTTTTTATCAAGTCACTGTCACTGTCATTATCACACATATACTATGATGTATTAAATGTTTCATACACACATTTAACTGCAATTTAAACCTTGCAACAAGGACGCTTACGTGACAACATCCGTCTGGCAAATGTTGTAGCAATTCTAACCAGATGGATGGTCGTCCTCCCTCACACGACCAGATGGATGGTTGTCCTCCTTCACACGACCAGATGGATGGTCGTCCCCCCTCACACGACCAGATGGATGGTCGTCCTCCCTCACACGACCAGATGGATGGTCGTCCTCCCTCACACGACCAGATGGATGGTCGTCCTCCCTCACACGACCAGATGGATGGTCGTCCTCCCTCACACGACCAGATGGATGGTCGTCCTCCCTCACACGACCAGATGGATGGTCGTCCTCCCTCACACGACCAGATGGATGGTCGTCCTCCCTCACACGACAAGATAGATGGTCGTCCTCCCTCACACGACCAGATGGATGGTCGTCCTCCCTCACACGACCAGATGGATAGTCGTCCTCCCTCACACGACCAGATGGATGGTTGTCCTCCTTCACACGACCAGATGGATGGTCGTCCCCCCTCACACGACCAGATGGATGGTCGTCCTCCCTCACACGACAAGATAGATGGTCGTCCTCCCTCACACGACCAAATGGATGGTCGTCCTCCCTCACACGACCAGATGGATGGTCGTCCTCCCTCACACGACCAGATGGATGGTCGTCTTCCCTCACACGACCAGATGGATGGTCGTCCTCCCTCACACGACCAGATGGATGGTCGTCCTCCCTCACACGACCAGATGGATGGTCGTCCTCCCTCACACGACCAGATGGATGGTCGTCCTCCCTCACATGACCAGATGGATGGTCGTCCTCCCTCGCACGACCATATGGATGGTCGTCCTCCCTCGCACGACCAGATGGATGGTCGTCCTCCCTCACACGACCAGATGGATGGTCGTCCTCTCTCACACGACCAGATGGATGGTCGTCCTCCCTCACACGACCAGATGGATGGTCGTCCTCCCTCACACGACCAGATGGATGGTCGTCCTCCCTCACACGACAATATGGATGGTCGTCCTCCCTCACACGACAAGATGGATGGTCGTCCTCCCTCACACGACAAGATGGATGGTCGTCCTCCCTCACACGACCAGATGGATGGTCGTCCCTCTCACACGACCAGATGGATGGTCGTCCCCCCTCACACGACCAGATGGATGGTCGTCCTCCCTCACACGACAAGATGGATGGTCGTCCTCCCTCACATGACCAGATGGATGGTCGTCCTCCCTCACATGACCAGATGGATGGTCGTCCTCCCTCACACGACAAGATGGATGGTCGTCCTCCCTCACACGACAAGATGGATGGTCGTCCTCCCTCACATGACCAGATGGATGGTCGTCCTCCCTCACATGACCAGATGGATGGTCGTCCTCCCTCACACGACCAGATGGATGGTCGTCCTCCCTCACACGACCAGATGGATGGTCGTCCTCCCTCACATGACCAGATGGATGGTCGTCCTCCCTCACATGACCAGATGGATGGTCGTCCTCCCTCACACGACCAGATGGATGGTCGTCCTCCCTCACACGACCAGATGGATGGTCGTCCTCCCTCACACGACCAGATGGATGGTCGTCCTCCCTCACACGACCAGATGGATGGTCGTACACCACTAATGGAGGACTTTAATATCACTAAGGGAGAGCTGAACACCACTGAGGGAGGAGCTGAACACCACTGAGGGAGGAGCTGAACACCACTGAGGGAGGAGCTGAACACCACTGAGGGAGGAGCTGAACACCACTGAGGGAGGAACTGAACACCACTGAGGGAGGAACTGAACACCACTGAGGGAGGAGCTGAACACCACTGAGGGAGGAGCTGAACACCACTGAGGGAGGAACTGAACACCACTGAGGGAGGAACTGAACACCACTGAGGGAGGAGCTGAACACCACTGAGGGAGGAGCTGAACACCACTGAGGGAGGAGCTGAACACCACTGAGGGAGGAACTGAACACCACTGAGGGAGGAACTGAACACCACTGAGGGAGGAGCTGAACACCACTGAGGGAGGAGCTGAACACCACTGAGGGAGGAGCTGAACACCACTGAGGGAGGAGCTGAACACCACTGAGGGAGGAGCTGAACACCACTGAGGGAGGAACTGAACACCACTGAGGGAGGAGCTGAACACCACTGAGGGAGGAACTGAACACCACTGAGGGAGGAACTGAACACCACTGAGGGAGGAACTGAACACCACTGAGGGAGGAGCTGAACACCACTGAGGGAGGAACTGAACACCACTGAGGGAGGAGCTGAACACCACTGAGGGAGGAACTGAACACCACTAAGGGATGAGCTGAACACCACTGAGGGAGGAGCTGAACACCACTAAGGGAGGAGCTGAATGTTATGGCCCTCTCGGGACGCAACGGGGTCCTTACTCTGATGTTGTTAGAGGAAGATATATGTATCCGTTCCCAAGCCAGTAGTGGCTATCAAGGGATGAGATCCGTGACGCAAGTAACTTAAAGGGAGTAGGGAAAGAAAGCCAAGAACTTAATATTATAATTTACACCATCACCGATTAAATATATAAAATAAAAGAGTGTACAAGGGGGAGGGGTATTAACACTAGACAAGGGGATTATTCACAATGTAGTCTTCGGCTGAAGACTCTGGTGACATAACTCTCGGTGCCGAGTCCTTGGTGCTTTCTTCGTGGCCACACAACGAATTCTTCAAAGAAGTTGAGCCTACCCTGGCCACAGGTCAGCCAAAACACAGGTCCACTGGGGGCACTGCCGTGGAGGCCGTCAACCACACGTCCAGCTGGTCTGCTGGCAGGTTCTGAGCCCACAAGGCTGGTACGGCCACTCCACGAACGATAAAAGGGGAACGCCCTAGACAGGAGCCTCGTGTGACACCACAAATCACTCTCCTGTCTCCAGTACCCCAGTGGATGATCGTCTCCAACAGTCGGTCCCGGGTAAATCCTTTTACTGCCACTCCACTGACAGGCTAACACACCACAGTGTTCTTCCAGGGGGACGACGTCACGACAACTGCAGCAAACTTCAAGGTATGGAGACTGGTTGCCTCGGGTAGACTGACTCAACCTTCAACACAGCGGTCCCAGGTCGACTCTGTAAACAGACACGTCATCAATGACTGGGACACACTAAAACACCTCACTTACGGGCTCGGGCACAAACACCTGACATATCCAGTCCATAGATGGCGTTGTAGCCTGAGCACCACCTCACCAGAGGTCAGTGGCGGCGGTGTAGTGTGCTGAACGGGACTGGAAACTAGCCCTCGTAGCTGGTACGCGGCGTCCTCACCAGGTGTCGTCGTCCTCTTTGAGGGGGTTTCGGGAGCTGACCCACAGATGGCGTGGTTGTCACTGCTCCGGATTCGGACGCTGGATCCGGGTTCGTAACACCTCCCCACCAAAAAGAATTTGGTTTGGGGTTCTATAAAAAGAGACACAAACCAAATTAGTACGGCGACACAACTCCAAATGGACTTACTTATACTATGAACTGGAGTGATGAGGCTGTCTTGTCCACAGAACTTTTCTACTGAGAAACCCTGGCACAAAGGGAGCTTGAAAATGGCAGACGATGACCAGCCTGATGTAATCTTCCACACCTCCTCTGCGATGGCAAACAGGGGCATCATCTCACACCTCTCGAGTAAGGATTGGTTTCGACACGATCTGGGGTGACTCGACACTTCCCAGTGTCGTGGCACCGATGATGGCTGATCCCAGACGGTATTTCTAGTACCGGTCCGGTGGTCCTTCAGGGAGACGGGCACCTGGAATACAGGGGTCTGATAATTCAGAGTGATAGCGACAATGGGCAAGTCAGTACTTACTATACACTCCTCTACTAGGCCCACACCTAGTTCCAACAGGGCTGCTTGCTCACCGAAGATGGCATTCGCTCTGCCCCCGTCAGGTCGACCAACGTTCCGTATAACGCTGTATTGAGGCTCAGCAATCACGCGGGGGGTGTCAACCTGTCGGAAATAGTCACTCATATTATCATTTCTCGTACCTCCTGTATCTACTATTACCTTCCAGGTCCCTTCTTCGACTGCAACACTCGCAGTACACGTCTCTAATCCCTGGGATCTCTTCATGATGTTCAAGGGAGCCATCATCCTTCGGGTCGTCCACTGATCCTTACTGAGAACACTGAGAACACATAGAAGAATAAAACAAAATATTGCCAAGAAACATGGGGCCAATTGAGGGATAAGCTTCCCGAGCCAGTCATGTCCATAGCCGGCAACATCCACAAGCCTGGCTTGGACTGAAGAGGGCACTAGACCTTTTGAACACACCTCACATACCTCTGACGTCTGGGGAATCTCTGGCTGGTTCAATACACGCTGTAACTTGCCATACCGCAAGCACACATCCGCCTTCGCTCCAGACTCGTTGGTATCCGTGGGTGCCCGCACACAAGGCCTCTCTTCTTGCTCAGGTACCTCTGCCTTCTTAACCTCATGTTCCTTGTCGAGAGAAGAATTAGAAGTCTCTGCTAGAATATCGTCGATCTGCGGGTGAGAGGAAGGATTAAACACGTTCAAATCCGGGTCTGTCTCTACCTGGACATTACCATGGCCCGTCGTTACCCCAGACCTTGCTGTTCTGGCTGACTCGTCCGCTATCTTGGGATGATTGGTGCTCCAATCGGTCACCAAGTCGTTGGCTAGTACCACGTCAATCCCAGCCACAGGGAGGGTATCGACTACTGCCAACGCACATGTGCCGCTGAAATAAGGCGAGTCAAGATGTACTGGCACTAAGGGGGCGATATACTGCGTCCTAGGAAACCCAACCAGGACAACCTGTTGTCTTCCGTCTACACTTACTCCCTCGGGTAACGAGCTCTTCACGATCAGGGACTGGGCTGCTCCACTATCTCTGAGCACTACAACTGATGTACCAGTATGATCACTCGATACATACCCGCCTGAAGTGTGAGGGGAAAACAAACGTGGTCCTTCCTGCGTCGTCGTCGACTGGCTTCCTGCTGGTGGTGTAACACAGCTCATCATCATCACCTCCCTACGTGCGCTGCCATCTCTTCTGCCTCGGCACCTAGCAGCTATATGCCCTTTCTGCCCACAAGTCCAGCACACCATATTCCTCCTTGGACTCCGGTGTTTCGGACTGCTAGGACTTTTTCTTCGAGGGCTACTTGGGGGCATCTTCTTAGCGCTTCGTGGGACGGGGGTCTCTTCTTCGTCATGAGGTTTCTCAAATCGGCGTTGGTAATTCCTTGGGACGTACTTAGCAGACGGCCTATGAGTCAGGATGTATTCCTCAGCCATTGTGGCTGCTGCACTCAAGGTCTCTACCTGCTGTTCCTCTAGGTACGTCTTCAGGTCTCCAGACAAACAATCCTTGAAGTCCTCCAGCAGAATCAACTGCTCGAGGTCTTCCCTGGTCTCCACCTTCCGAGAGGCACACCATTCCTGGAAAAGTCGCTCCTTGATTGTAGCGAATTCGGTGTAAGTGTGCTCTGAGGTCTTCTTCAGGTTTCTGAACTTTTGCCTATACGCCTCAGGTACCAATTGGTACGCCATGAGCACAACCTTCTTCACCTTGTCGTAATCGCCAGAGTCGTCAAGGGATAACGTAGAGTAAGCGATTTGGGCCTTCCCAGTCAAGACTGACTGTATCATGATGGCCCAATTCTCCCTTGGCCACTCCAAAGAGGCAGCGACTTTCTCGAAGGCTGCAAAGAATTTTGACACTTCCTTCTCATGGAATTTGGGGACCATTTTGATGTTTCTTACCGGATCGAAACTACTGGTGTCCGTTGTTTGCCTCCGACCACCGCCTAATCGCAAAACTTCTAGTTCATGTTGTCTCTCTCTTTCTTTTTCTTCCCTTTCTCGCTCTTCTCTCTCTCTTTCTCGTTCTTCTCTTTCTCTTTCTCGTCTCTCTTCTCTTTCTCGTTCTTCTCTTTCTCGTTTCTCTTCTCTTTCTCGTTCTTCTCTTTCTCGTTTCTCTTCTCTTTCTCTCTCTGCTTTCCTTTCCTCTAATTCTAAACGTCTCATCTCTAATTCTTTATCTTGTTTCTCTCGTTCCATTTCTAATTTCTTCCATTCTATTTCACGATTGATCTCTAGGGCACGCATTTTGACTGTTAGGAAGCTGATATTAAGCTCACCTGCATCACTGTCAACGTCGCTGCCCTTATTTTCCTTTTCCGTGGAAGCTATCTCCTCACCTTCCCTTGTACTAGGAGTCTCGCTTCCCTGTTTCTCTTCTGCCTTCAAGTGCCGGTGAACCTTGGACAATATTTCCACACGGGAATCACTGGCACGGATCTTGATCTCCAGGTAGGCGCTCACTAGTACAAGCTCTGGTTTGCTCAGATATTTTAATCTGGCAAGACAGTCCTCTCTGTTCAGAAAAGCCTGAACCTCGTCTAGATCATCGATGGTAGCTTTTTCTGCCATTGTCACAGATGGAACACTTAGCACTTAACACACTGCTTACACGTTAGCACTTAACGCACTGAGCACTGTTCTACGCCAATATTGCACTTTATCGCACCAAACACTGCACTTGCCAATATTGCACTGAATCCAAGCGAACACTTCACTCTACAATATTGCACTGAATCACTGAGCACCGCA